GCCTCAGCCTCCCGAGTAGCTGGGACTACAGGCATGCGCCACCATGCCCAGCTAATTTTTTCTATATATTTTTAGTTGTCTGATAAATTTCTTTTCTATTTTTAGCAGAGACGGGGTCTCGCTCTTGCTCAGGCTGGTTTCGAACTCCTGAGCTCAAACAATCCGCCCGCCTCGGCCTCCCCAAGAGCTAGGATTAGAGGCGTGAGCCACCGCGCCTGGCCTAAATATATTTTTGAGTGACTTTAGAGAGGAGGCATTTGACACTTCCTTCAGAAAGATCATTAACTCAACAGTTCAAAACGCTGTAATTTCTGGGAACTTCAAAACTGTTGTTGAAGGATATAGAATTAATTCCTAAGTTTACTGACTTTGTCTTATCAAGATGTAGTTGTATTAGTGGAAAGAGGGTAGAAATTTAAAATTGTAAAAGCAGAAAAAAATTGCATGTGTAAGTAGAAAAGGATTTGTCTAGAATATATTTTTAAATTATTAAATAAGTATACTTAAGCAATTGCTATGTATTTCTCCTAATAGCATATGTTGCTCCTGTTAAGACCAGGAACAAAACGTTTCCAAGATGTGTACCAAAATCAGAATACAATTTTAGTTTCCCTGGGTCCATTGGGTTATACAGTTCTGAATACATGTTCTTTAACATGTTCTTCTTTCATTTTAAATGATCCATTAAAATTGAATTTCATATTTAGTCTCTTCTATTATGTCTTCAAAATTGCTGTCATTGTTTTCCAACTTCCTTTAAAGCCTCTCTTTCAATAATTTTTGTATTGTAATAAAATACACATAGCATAAAATTCACTATCTTAATTATTTTTAAGTGTGCAGTTCACTGGTATCAAGTACATTCCTGGTACATCGTCCATTCTACCATAGTCCCCAAATCCTCCTCATTTGTTTTAAATTCTTATTTATAATAAACTTAATCATTTGGACAAATTTCCTTATTTCCTCAGGCCATTATACCTAGATAAATGGAAGGAAATAAGAAAGAAGAACTTTATGAGAACAAAAGATATTTCTTGAAACATTATGAAGTGGGAAGGCCACTGTGCTCAGATGGTGGTTGAATCAATTTCTGTAAAGCATTTGCTTTTCTTGGATTCTAGAGTTAGAAAGAAAGGCCCACACATCTAAACCAGTGCCAGGAAAAGTGTGGTCAGGGATCCTGGTGCTGTGGAAGATGACTTTGTATAGCATGCACAGGAATAGGGAAAAATGGATAGTTTGCCAATGTCCAGATTCCTGATTGTCTTTGCAGAGAATGTTCCCAGAGCCTTAAGCTGTCTGCAGCTATTTTCAGTTCTTTGACCATTAGATCTGGAAGACAAGAAAGGAGGAGAAAACACTCCAGGAAGGAAGGAAAGCCCTTGGCTTCAACAATGGGGTTTAGGGAGGGCCAGCTTCATGTGGTGCTCTTTGTGAACGGGCACTGAGTGGCAGATCAGCTCTCACCAAGGCTTTGGGAGAGCAGCTGCCAGTGCCTTGCACAGCCCACAGTCCTGGAGGCCTCTTTCTTAGATTTTTTTCTGTTGTTTTTTGAGTCTCACTGTTTCCAGGGCTAGGTTGCAGTGGCGGCATCATAGCTCACTGCAACCTCAAACTCCTGGGCTCAAATGATCCTCCTACCTCAGCCTCCTGGGTAGCTGGGACTACAGGCAGGCACCACTATGCCTGGCTAATTTTTCTATTTTTAGTAGAGATAGGATCTTGCTCTTGCTCAGGCTGGTCTCCAACTCCTGAGCTCAAGCGATCCTAGGGATCCTCCTGCCTTGGCCTCCCAGAGTGCTAGGATTACAGGCATGAGCCACAGTGCTGCCAGGCCAGGTTTGTGAAATTAAAATGAGGAACTGGTATGTGAAGCATCCAGTTTGTTGGCAGTAAATGTTAAGTCCTCAATGGACAGTAACTCTAATTGTTTCCTATAGGGAAAAGATGAAATAATCTGAGTATCTATTTTCTTAAAGGTTTGTGAAGTTGGAATAAACTTCAATTAATGTAGGAAGTATTTTTACCTTTCAGAGGGAGAAATTAAACTGAGAGTATTCTGAACCATGAGACATATGGCTCAATACTGAAACAACTCAATACAGTTATATTGTGGATAATAGTTTTAAAATTATAGATACATTAAGTTTATAGTTTTCATACCATAGCAATTATTTGGAAGGTGGTTTCAGAGTACTTGCATTCAGTCAGTTTCTTCATTTATATCTTTTGTTTTATCCCTACTATGTCCTTTGTAAAAACCAGCATAAAAAATCCTACATGTTGGCCGGGCGCGGTGGCTCATGTCTATAATCCTAGCACTCTGGGAGGCCGAGGCGGGCGGATTGTTTGAGCTCAGGAGTTCGAAACCAGCCCGAGCAAGAGCGAGACCCCGTCTCCACTAAAAATAGAAAGAAATTAATCGGACAACTAAAAATATATAGAAAAAAATTAGCCGGGCATGGTGGCGCATGCCTGTAGTCCCAGCTACTCGGGAGGCTGAGGCAGAAGGATTGCTTGAGCCCAGGAGTTCGAGGTTGCTGTGAGCTAGGCTGACGCCACGGCACTCACTCTAGCCCAGGCAACACAGTGAGACTCTGTCTCCAAAAAAAAAAAAAAAAATCTTACATGTTAAACTGGAATTTATGTATATGTGTGTATTAATTTTTGTTCTAAAAAAGATCTAAGGTAGAAAACTCACGTTTATTTTCAGAACTGTCCACATCTGTGTTCCTTAGTAAGTCTTATGATTGATATTTACTTTGAGAGACTATTAAGTATTTATTTCAGCGAAACTCATGGGATCCCTCAGGGTAGAAGATAATATGGACTAAACCTGAATTAAGCTTATTCCTGATCTTGTATTATCTAATTTAAGTCTCCATGTTGGTCTGTGCTGTTCTTCTTGCCCACGCTGTGACATGCAGGTACACAGGGAATATCATAAAAGTCTAACACTTAATGATAAGTGAGATTATCTTTGTGGGTTTTTTAAGAGGTTATGAATGAAATACTTTAAACATACAGGAAAGTAAAGAGAGTGAACTTCCATGTATCCACCTACTTAACTTATCTTTGTCAAATTAAAAGGCTTACTGTATAGGCTTTAACCTTGGTGGATAGCTTAAATTAAATTAACAGTTTTTTAAAAATTGTGAAACCACCCTTAAGAATACTTCTGGGATAGAGGAATAGCATCTGTTGTATAAATCATTATGAAGCGGGAAGAATTAACAACAGAGAGAATTAACAACAGCCATAGTTGAAATATGTGCTTAGGAGGGCCTGGTGGTCACCAGTCTCACATGGGGCTGTCCGCTTGAGGGTGGCACACATTAGACAGCGTGTTTACGTAAATAGCCTCAGTGTGTGTTGTGTTGGTGATGAATGTTTTGAAAATCTATAATTATTTAAAATTTTGTATTGATTAAGATTTGTTGTTTTTATAAATTATTTATGAGAAATAATTTGCTTTTATATTGAAAGGAAGTAGAGGCTATATAAAGAAGTTAATAACAATTACTTATGATCTCAAAGATGTTATGTTGAATGCATTGAGAAGAGTAATCTATTAGTGTCTGTTTAAATGTTGCATTCTCATTTTTCATTACAGAGACATTTTTTAGCCATCCTTTTCTTGAGCAAGTTCCAGTAAAAAAATGTGAGTACCCATTTTTTGTATTTTTACTTGAAAAATAAATGCAAGCTTAAGGAAAAATTAGTATTTTGTATCACAAAATTAATTTTTTACTGTGCTTTTCAAGATTTCATTGACTTTTCTTTTTTTCTTTTTTTTTTTGAGACAGAGTCTCACTCTGTTGCCCAGGTTAGAGTGCTGTGGCATCAGCCTAGCTCACAGCAACCTCAAACTCATGGTCTCAAGCGATCCTCCTGCCTCAGCCTCCTGAGTAGCTGGGACTACAGGCATGTGCCACCATGCCCGGCTGATTTTTTCTATGTATATTTTTAGTTGTCCAGCTAATTTCTTTCTATTTTTTTTAGCAGAGACGGGGTCTCGCTCTTGCTTAGGCTGGTCTTGAACTCCTGAGCTCAAACGATCTGCCCGCCTCGGCCTCCCAGAGTGCTAGGATTACAGGCATGAGCCACCGCGCCTAGCCATCATTGACTTTTCTTAGATACCTATAATTGTGTTTAATATCAGTTCTTTTTTTCCTTCTAAATCTAAGTTGAAATAGTTTTAGTAATGGCTGCATTTTCACAATTTTTTTCCCACCAGAATGTATACGTCAAAGGTAATTGCTACATTTTTAGTTTCATCAATGGAAGTGATAATAAATAGGTAAATGCAAATTTTTGATCAACACAAAGATGCAGTAGTTTTGGCAGGTTTTTCTTTTCTTTTTTTTTTCTTTTTTCTTTTTTTTTTTTAGAGACAAAAAGAGTCTCGCTGTATCACCCAGGCTGTTCTCAAACTCCTCGCCTGATAGTCCTTCTGCCTGAGACTCCCGAGCAGCTGGGACTATAGGCGTGAGCCACCGTTTTTTATTTATTTTAGAGATGAGGTCTCATTGTGTTTTGCAGGCTGGGTTTTTCTATTAGACAGGTCATGTGACTGTACTACAAAGTGATGTAGCTCTTCGTCTGTGTTTCCTCCACCAGCTTGCCCAGTTCCAGTGCCTATGTATGCCGGCTCTGTCTCTGGAAGCTCCTGTGGCAGCTCTCCATCCTGTCGTTTTGCTTCTCCACCAGTAAGTTCTGATTTTATTATTAACAGAATTAGTGCTGTTGCATCTGTTCACAAATGGAGCCTGAAAATACAGTGTGGATGTTCTTTTTATGTGTAGTGTTTACTTATGCAGCTGAGGTTTGGGAAAAACAGCCATTATAGTTGGGTCAGATGGACCTGCATTTGGACCTCTGTCTATATTTAACTGTGTAAGCTTCAGCAAGAAATATCACCTCTCTGGGCCATTTCCTCTGAATAGTAGTACAGTACTATCACTTTTTTTATGCTCTGTGGGGTTTTGGTGATGATATTTGCAAACAAAGAGTGTCCATTATAGGTGGATAGGCAATAAATATTTATTTTACCTGAATGCTATAAACATCACCTTGGATTTTTTTTTTTAAACACTCAGTTGGCACCAAACTTGGATATTTTTTGTACATAGGATTTCCACTGGTGGATGAGTGATTTCTGAGCCAGATTTCACCTAGATTCCCTTAATCGTGATTACTGGACCTTGAAGCTTACCATTCAAACCTCTTCCTTCCCCTGAAGTTCCCAAGCCATCTCCCCCATGGCTGTGTTCGTTCCCATTTAAGTGCTTTCTCCTGATGCTGAGGACTTCCGGTCACTCTGCTCACTTTTTCTTCCTATTGTACTCGCCCAGGGTTTTACCTTGTCCTCTTCTTGCTTTTTCAGACTGACCCTTGCCCAAATCTCTGTTGCAGCCTGTGAAGGTTGTGACCTTGAGGCTTTTCCACAAGCTGAAGGTCCAAGGGCTCTTGTGTGAGCTACTGTATTTTCCAGATTAGCCTGGTAGACATTAATTTCTTGAATTCTGCTGGTAGAAAGGTGAGGGGAGCCATAAGAGGAGGCAGTTGTATGATTAGCCAGTTAAGGCAACTCAGAGGTTTAGAAGGATGAGGCTGGGCCTGCGCAGTGGCTCACGCCTGTAATCCCAGTGCTTGGGAGGATGAGGTGGGAGGATTGCTTGAGGACAGGAGTTCAAGACCAGCTATGTACCAGCCTGGGTAACATGAAACCCCATCTCTACAAAAAATTTAAAAAGTTAGCCAGGAGTGGTAGCCCATGCCTATAGTCTAGCTACTCAGGAGGCTGAGGCAGGAGGATCACTTGAGCTATGATCAGGCCACTGCACTCCAGCCTGGGCAACAGAGCAAGAACCCATCTCTTAAAAAACAAACAAACAAAAAATGGGTGAGGCTTGGAAGCTTCTACATCCCTTACTTGCCATATTAACTTAGGACAAGTGACTTAATTTCTTTGAGCCCTCATATGTAAAGTGATTATAATTTACCTACTTCATAGGGTTCTTTAAGGACAAATGAGTGCACACACTTACTGCAGTGTCTGGCACACAATAAATACTCAGGCAGTGGCAACTGTATTATTTTCCAGGGAAATCTAATAGCCCATAGCTAAAGTAGATGCAGAAAAAGCCTATTGTGGACAAGTCTCAAAACTGGCCAAAAAAACCCCTCTCTTTCAGAACCTGGCAAACTCACACCAAACAGATAAAGTAGCTGCGTTAATAAGACTTAAATTATGTTCCCATGAATTTAAAAAGCTAAGAGCCAGGCAGACTGGCATCAGTCCTGGCCCTGCTGCTTGCTTCCTGGGTAACCGTGGGAGCGTCAGTTAGACAGCTGGGCCATGGTCTCATCGGGAAGATAGGCCTGCTGAACCTTTGCGCGCAGGGTGGTGGGGCTAATATGTGGACAGTGCCTAGCCATAGTAAATACTTGATAAATTGTAGCTATTATATTGTGAAGTATATATTTAACTCAATGTGAGACATAATATAAAAAGCAAAGCTTGTACCAGAGAAAGGAACACCAGGAAGATCTAAATGTGGGAGATGAAACATAAAGGAGCCTGTGGATGGTAGAGTGACTGAGGGATGAGAAAGAGAGACCAGCGGGGGGTGGGGCATTGAACTGGAAATTCGCTGTGACTGGAGAGCTCTTTTGGGGTTTTCGTTAGTTGAAAGGGGAGAGTAAAACAGCACCTAGGCTAGGGCTGCCAGGGAAAAGTGAGGAGAACTAACAGGAGGAGTGAGGAAGGGCAGGAGGGAGAGAGAGCTATATTTAGATGTTAAAAACTTTGGTGGGATAACGATTTTTAGGAAGCCTTTATTAAAAGCTAATACTTGAAGTGAAAATAAAAAGGAAAGCAGGGAAATAGAAGGAAAGCAGGAACGTTTGTGTATAATTTCCAACTAATGAGATTAGAAAATGAGATGGTTTGATAGACCTTGTATTGAGCATAGTCTGCCAAAAATGAGATGATTTCATACACGCATCTCCATCCTTCCTCGGACTGGCGTAGACTCCCATACTGAAGGTTAATACACACACGCATGCAATATAACATTCTTTTTTTTAGGTTCTCATGCAAAAATCTAGCTGCTACTTTATATCAGAAAAATCTTTGAAGGCAAAAAAATCAAAAATCAAAAGTCATAAATAAGAAGATCTCCAAATCACTCTTTTAATTATGATACTGACTATAGGCTAATGTCATTTAGAGGGTAAATCTCAGATATTTATTTGTTATATAACATTTCTTATATGCCTACTTTGTGTGAAGTTCTGGTTTATCCTAATGAATGAGATGACCAAGTCCCTGACATCAAGGTGTTTTTAATTTAATTATATAGAGAAGAGGTAGGTGGCTCGATCTCTACTAGAAGCATATGTGTATATATCTTCATTGCCTATGGGAATGGGAATGAGGGACTTCAAAATCAGATTAAGGGCATAGGAAGGCTGCTCAGAGGAAGGGATTGTTTGAGCTGAGTTTTGAAGAAAGAGTTAGCAAGATGAATTAGTAAAAGAATGGTATTGTAGGCAGAGGAATTCCCATACATGAAGTCATAGAAGCGTAAGCTACTGAAGGAACTCTCTAGCTCCTGTCAACTGAATAATGACGAGGTTCATAAATTTGGAAAGGAGAGCTTTATTTCATAAAGAGTTGCAGCCTATAGGCTGGCCATTCTGACAGGTTGAGAAGTGTAGCCTACAGCCAGAAGCCAGACACAAGTACTTTGAGGGAAAGAGGGAAAGACAATGGGACAGGAATTTATGCTGAATGGGGTGGCCAAATATGTACACTTAACAAGCTGCAGGAGAAGGCATGAATATTTATGAAAGGAGAAACATGCACATGCGCAGGTGAGCTTCATGCTACTTGATGGGGTCCGTGTTCAGAAAATGGCACAATAGCATTATGGAGGGCAAAGTTTTTGACCCTGTCACATCAAAAGGTAGAGGACACAGAAACCTTCACTGTGCATTTTCCATAGACTGGTCAGAACCACTCCATGGTCAGCGGCCTCTGGTCAGGGAAGAATGCTGGTCAGAGTAGATTGGGCTGTGGACTGAAACCAGCAGGTGGGCAAGCCTTTCCAAAGGCTGGTTCTGTTCAACCTTGAGGGAGGAAGCCTAATGGTGGTTAGTGAGGGGCAGGTATCATGGGGTGTGTCTGGCCTCCCTTCCTGTTATGGCTGGGAACTTAGTTTTAAAGTTTCTCTGGGGTCCCCTTGGCCAAGAGGGGGTCTGTTCAATCAGTTGGGGGGTTAGGATTTTATTTTTAGTTCTTATTCCCCATGTTCACTTACATTTAAATTTGTTAGAATTAAAAATTCATTTCCTTAGTCAGCTGCATTTCAAGTGCTCAGTAGGCACAGATAGCTAATGGCTAGCGTATGGGAGAGCTCACACATAGAACTTTTCTATCAAGGCAGAAAGGACCAGGCTGCTCTAAGTAGTTCAGTTTGTGGCTGTGGAGAGCATTGGTAATATGGTGGGGGAAAAATAAAGCTAGAGAGGTGGGCAGAGGCTGTATCTTGAGAGGATTTGGGTGCTGTGCAAAGGAGTTTCAGCTGTACCATTAAAGCTGGGGTGAGCCATTTGAATGATTTTAAATGGAAGAGTGATTTCCACCGTGTGTTTTAGCTAGTTTCTTCTAAAACTCAGACGGCTAGATTGGAGAGAAAGAATGAGAGAGAAGTCTCTCTGTTAGAGGAAAGAGAACAACTTTCAGACTGTTGAAGCTTTTATTATCATCGTCATCATCATTTTAGGAACAAGGACCTGAAGGAAGGAAGTAGAAAAGGAGAAGAGGAGGGGCCAGGTAAAAGACAGATAAAAAGCTTGCAGATCTTGGAGATTGTTTGAACTTAGGGCTTAAGGAAGAAGGGGACCTTGCTGGTGACTGAGTGGATGGCCGATGAGGGCACTCAGTGAGGGAGCATGGGAAACAGTGCTTTGGGGTATAAAAGGTGATGAATTAATGTTGTTCAGGCATGGACGTGATGCATAGGCAAGTGAACTTACGGGTCTAGAGCTCATCAGAGAGAATCTAGGCTGGAGTTGTCATTCTGTGAATGGTAGCTGGAGGTAGGAGGGTAAAGAGTGGTCACTAGGGTAAGTATGAAAAATTAGGAGTAGAGGGCCCATGGTGATACCTTGGGGAATTCTATACTCTCTTCCTCCTCCTCTTCTTCAAGGGGCAGATGAGAAGTATGTACCCACAAAATAGGAGGGAAAACAAGAGAGAGTGGGGTCACAGATGAAGGAGAAGAGTGCCAAGAAAAGACTGGTCCACAGTGCAGATGTAGCAGACAATTCAAGTACCTTAAGGAAATGTCTGCTGGACTTGGCAGTGGAAGTTATTGGTAAGCTTAATGAAGGCAATTTTGTCAGAGGGTTGAAAGCAGAAAGTGAATTATGGTGGATTAAAGGATATATAGAAGGTGAAGAATTTGAGTCAGTGAAGATTGACAATTTCAAGAAACATTAAGAAGTGAAGAGGAGATGGGTTGTAGGAATTTGAGATGTGAGAAAATTAAACATGTTTATCTGCAGAGGGAAAAAATGCCAGAATAAAGGGAGAAGGTGAAAATGTTAGCAGGAGAGAGGAGTTTCTCTAGGTGTTGGAGGATAGAGGGGAGAGTGGAAGGCAGAGTGCAGGTGGAGAGATGAGCTTTGAATGGAAGAGCAGCATCTCTTCCACTACCATGAGAAAGGAGCATCAGGATGGTTGCAGATGCTGATAGTTTTATAAATAGCAGGGGAAGAAACGGGGAATGTTCCTGCCTAAACCACTGGAAGGAAATTATGCAATTAGACACTTGGAACTACATTTCAACTTGACTGTGTTTTCATTGCATCAAGCCCATGGTTGATGCTCAGTAATATTAGTTCTTACATCTTCCCTTCCCTTTGTTATCCTGAGATATAAAGTCTCTTCAAAAAGTGGTAAGAAGATTTTGTGTCATGTACATGTCACACACAAAAAGAAGTGATGTCAATGATTGATACCGTTGCACAGTGACATTCAAAGGAGCGGCAGCAGTGAATTGGGTATTTAAGGCTTGGCTTTAAAGAACATGATGTACTATTTTTCCTTTTTTTAAATAGAAACAAAGATTAAACAGGGTAATAGGGCTTGATAAGTTATATTCATTGTTTTAGAAAACCATTATATAATCAAGATATTCAATTAAGAATTGTCGCTAGAGTCCTTGAACCAAGCAAATGCCAAAAGATATATAACTAGTTTACGCCTAAGTATTTGTTTAAATATATTTATGTGCTTTTCTTCCCTTCCTGTCCTATCTGCTACTGACAAACCAACTCCTCTCCCTAACAGAACAAAAGGAACACACCCACACCTATAAGGTTTTCCAAATCTTTCTGTGTGTGTAAATAAATTTCTAGACTTCAGTGCAGTTACCCTTATTGATTTGTCTGCTCTTTTACATAATATGGTCCCTGCTTTCCTGTTTGTAATGTGTTCTTCATTATAAATTTAAAACTTTTTTGCGTGTTCAAGATGTCATTAATTTAAAGTCCCTGGGCAGTTTGTGTTTAGTCAGTTATTGAGTATCTGCTTTGCTAGGACATGAGCTGGGGATTTGGGGATGATAAAAACTCACCTTCTCAAAAACTTTAGGAGAGGCAGACAAGTACTGTGATAAGTGATATGATATATACTTTTGTAGAGATGGGGTCTTGCTATTGCCCAGGCTGGTCTCGAATTCCTGGCTTGAAGCAATCCTCTCGCTTCGGCCTCCCAAAGTGCTAGGATTACAGGGCCACCTCGCCTGGCCAATTTTTAAGTATCCTTTTTGGAAAACATTTTAGAAGTCCTTATGCAAACACTTTTAAACTGTGCTTTTCTGCAGGAAACATTTTCCAAAGATTTTTTTTTTTTTAATTTTAAATGGCATTGGACTTTATGCCCACTTTTATGAAAAAAAAATCCTTAATCTAATGGCTGTTCTGACTTGCATTTGATTATTAGGCCAGTTTTAATTTTATGTTGTTAATTTTAGTCCCTTCCAGATATGCAGCATATTCAGGAAGAAAACTTATCTTCCCCACCATTGGGTCCTCCCAACTATCTACAAGTGTCCAAAGATTCTGCCAGTACTAGTAGCAAGAACTCTTCTTGTGACACGGATGACTTTGTTTTGGTTCCACACAACATCTCGTCAGACCACTCATGTGAGAATCTTTTCTACTTGTACACATTAATTTACTAAACTACTATTTTTTAAAACCTTTATCTCACAAATTCTTGTGTAGGACACCTATTCAAATGGGCTTTTTATTTAGTTGTTTGAATTTTCAGAATTGTATACCTACCTTTCTAAAATCTGCTCAGTCATCTTCTATAAAACAATACTTTTGACTTCTGAAGATACATGAAAACTTTATAGGAAATGATCTCAAGTTCTGTTTGTATCCAAACAGAAAGAAATTGAGAAACCAGCAGAATGAGTGAAATTATAATAACTTTAAGGAAAGGAATTAAAGGAAGAACTCATTTGGGAAAAAACCTGAGAGTCAAATGAGTCTTAAAAACAACCTTGGTGTCTTTCAGAAATACTTTCGTAAGTTCAGGAATGAGCTTCAGAAATATATATGAAGAATTTTTATAAAGGAACTAGATGGAATCCAAGTTGACTAAATATAGTCAGTATGCTTTGGAATAGTGAAAGCTACCAGAAAACCTACAATAAAAAAGAAATTAAATAAAACTATTGAAAAAGAAGGAACCATGGTTTGGCCGTAGGGGAATAGGATTGGAAAAGCTAGAGATTTTGTTACTTTAATAATTAAATAATATCAGATTTGACTATGTGCAGGAGAGGTTTGTATCAAGAGGTCTATTTAGTTGTTTGTCTAAGACTTAGTAGGTGCTTGTGCTAGGCACCACGTAGCTTGTTATAAGGACATCATCCCAAGACTGCATGAACTTAATGATTTATTGTCTGGGGAAGGGAAAACATGGCCCACAACAATGTTGTGGCAGTTTATGATCGGTACTATAAGAACCGGGAATTACCTTAAAAAAATCATTAAGTACAGTGGTTTTATTTATTTACGAAAAGTAGTTAAAACTTTAAAATTATGAAATGTTTCAAACAGAAAATAATATAGCAGATACTGAAGTCACCTACCATACTGTGTTGCTCTTATGTTTGTCAACATTTTTCTGTATTTGTTTTAGATGTCTTTTTTAAAGATACACTATAGGTACAGCTAAAGTCCCTTTCCTCTTTCTACTCTTGCAAGAGGTATATTCTCTCTGCAGATATTTTGATACTTCTACATATAACTGTATTCATATATATTATTTTTGTGTTTTAACAGTTACAGGTTGAGCATCCCAAATTGGAAAATCCAAAACCCAAAATGCTCCAAAATCTGAAGCTTTATGCTCAGATTTTGTATTTTTGTATTTGGAATGCTCAATATAATGCAAATATTTCAGAATCCAAAAAAATTGAAATTTGAAACACTTCTGGTCCCAGGCAATTTGGATAAGAGGTACTCCACTTATATCAGTAAATGGTATATAGAATATTTGCTTCTGTAGTTTGCTTTTTTTATTCCTGTTTTTATTATATATCTGGATGCATACTAGCTATGTATCTACCTCATTTTAATACCTGAATTTTAAAGTACAACTAAAGCACAATTTATCCATTTCCTTACTGATTTATATTTTGATTATTTCTACCTTTTCAGTATTCAAAATGTATTATAATAGACTTTCATGTGTGCATGTGCCTGAATTTCTTCTAAGTGAATACCGTAGATAGGTACAATTTCAACTCTATAAAACATTGGTACAAACAAGTTGTATCAATAGTCTGTCATGCTGCCCCAATGTTATAATGCTATTCTCCTTTATCTTCTTCTGAATATTTTTTATTTTTTCCACATTTAACTTTACCTGGAATTTCTTTGTAGATGGAACAAGATCTTTCAATTATCCCATTGTTATTAAATATTTTGTCTTTTCACCAGATTTTACAATATCAGCTTTGTCATATCAGATTTAAATATAGGATTGAGTTTCTTTTAAGATTCTGTATTCTATTCCATTGGTCTATTTGTCTATATTATGAAAATTTTAAAATTTGTGTGTGTCAGTATGTGTGTGTGATCAGGGATGGGGAGGAGGGACAGAGAACATTCTAGTAATCTTCAGAATCACCCTGGCTAGGCCTGGCACGGTGGCTCATGCCTGTAATCCTAGCACTCTGGGAGGCCAAGGTGGGAGGATTGCTTGAGCTCAGGAATTGGAGACCAGCCTGAGCAAGAGCAAGACCCCATCTCTAATAAAATAGAAACAATTAGCTCGGCAACTAAAAATAGAAACAAACAAACAAAAAATTAACCGGGTATGGTGGCATGCGCCTGTAGTCCCAGCTACTCAGGAGGCTGAGGCAGGAGGAAAAGCTTGAGCCAGGAGTCTGAGGTTGCTGTGAGCTAGGCTGATGCCACAGCACTCTAGCCTGGGCAACAGAGTGAGACTCTGTCTCAAAAAAAAAAAAAAAAAAAAAAAAGAATTACCCTGGCTATTCTTGGACCTTTACCCCCTACAATGTGGTTTAATTTCAGTTTGACAGATTTTACAAAAACCATTTTGGGATTTTAATGGGAATTGCATTAATTCTATTCAGGGACAGTTAGGATCTTTACAATATTAAATAGTCTAATCTAGAATGTTTATGTGTTTCTCCACTTATTTAGGTTTCTTTAATGTGTTTTGATACATTTTTATACTTTTCTACATAAAGAGCCTTCATATCTTTTGTTTTATTCTCTGTGTGTTTTTTTGTGGTAGTGTAAATTTTTCAAAACTGTTCCTCTCAATTTCTTTGTGCCGCCAAATCCCAGGGGTCAGTTCTCAGTCCTCATGGTCTTGATGTAACCATAACATTTGTTATAGTTGACCATACCCTTCTTTTTAATAATTAAAAATTTGTTATTGTGAAATACATCATACATAAGATGTTTTAAATCATCTATATAGCTTAAAAGTAATATATATTACTATTATAGTAATGGTATGTTGTCCAAATACTATTTGTATTTTATATAACACATACCTGAGTGCCCTCCTGATTTTTTTGTCTGATTTTTCATCTTTTTGTCTTATTGCTATACTTTTAGGGAAATTTCCTTAATGTTTTCTTCTAACCATTCTGTTTTTTCATTTATGCTTTCGTATTTTAAATTTCCAGAAGTTCTTTTTTCCCTCTATTGTTCTTATTTCAAGGTGTGATATTTTGATGTGTAATCATTATTAAGAAGGGAGAATTTGGCCAGGTGCGGTGGTTCATGTGTGTAGTCCTAGCAGTTTAGGAGGCCGAGGCGGGAGGATTGCTTGAGGTCAGGAGTTGGAGACCAGCCTGAGTAACAAAGCAAGTCTCTGTCTCTACAAAAAAGTAGAAAAATTAGCCGGGTGTGGTGGCGTGCAACTGTAGTTTCAGCAACTTGGTAGACTGAGACAGGAGAATCACTTGAGCCCAGGAGTTTGGCGTTGCAATGAGCTATGATGATGGCACCGCACTCTAGCTGGAGTGATAGAGCAAGACTCTTGTCTCAAAAAAAAAAAAAGGAATAGAGAATTTAAAAATTGTTTGAGAGGAGAGCCTGCAAACACTTTTGGAATTATGGCGGCAATGGATATCCAAGATAATCTGTTGGGAAACTCTTGGGTCGACAGCTCTTGGATCCCCATTTTGAACAGTGGTAGCATTCTGGATTACTTTTCAGAAAGAAGTAAGCCTTTTTATGATAGGACGTGTAATAATGAAGTGGTCAAAATGCAGAGGCTAACATTAGAACTCTTGAATCAGATGGTTGAAGTTGAATACATCCTTTTACATGCTCAGGAGCCCATTCTTTTTATCATTTCGAAGCAACAGCAGCAGTGCCCCGCTCAAGTTATCCCACTAGCTGATTACTATATCATTGCTGGAGTGATCTATCAGGCACCAGACTTGGGATCAGTTATAAACTCCAGAGTGTGACTGGGCACGGTGGCTCACGCCTGTAATCCTAGCACTCTGGGAGGCGGAGGCGGGCGGATGTTTGAGCTCAGGAGTTGGAGACCAGCCTGAGCAAGAGTGAGACCCCGTCTCTACTAAAAATAGAAAGAAATTATCTGGACAACTAAAACTATATAGAAAAAATTAGCCGGGCATGGTGGCGCATGCCTGTAGTCCCAGCTAC